AACATGTTGAAGTTCCAATGGTTCATTACCGAAAGCGAAATACAGATTCTCAGCTGTTTATATTTTATCGGTTCCCAGGCAATGCCCGCTCGTCTATGGGAAAAGATAGGAATTTTAAGTGAAAGGCCTTGAAAAATGTTGAATTTTTATGAGGTTGGTTCAGGAGACACCCGGCCGAGGTCGATTACATGTCTGCAGAGCCAACGCCTGACATGCGTCAGGCCAAATGCCTTCGTAGAAGACTTCCGAAGGCTGTCGTAACTGGCACGTGTCGTTTGTTGCTTCAAACGACTAACAAAAAATGAAATGTTTTTGGTTTGCTCGTGTTACAGACTCACCCAGTCCCAAATCAACCCACTGCTCAACAATGGTCCAGCTGACATCTTTGGCTACTCGGTTCTTCAGCGCCAACAGTTGGCAAAGGTCACTGGCGCGCAGGTTACGTTCCACGACCACCAGCTGGCAGCTCCCGTCGTCATTGTAGAACGTAAGTTCCTGATATCAAAGAAAGTGTCACTTCAGGTCTACGTAACCAGTTAACATTGCCAACAATTCAGCTGTGCGTGTTAATGCCCGCAAAATGACCACAGAATCAATGCCAAGTCCTTGAAACATGGACACAGCGCGGTAATAAGCCACCAGCCATCTTTTCCCCTACTCGTGCGACATCTGACAGCCAACATCTTTTTCCCCTACTCGTGCGACATCTGACAACAGCACAGCTAAACTGAACGCACTGTACTATCCGGCTTCAAAGTTTCAGATCGGTTCGACGCTCACCAAACCGCACGTTTCAAGATCCACACAAACAAATCCCTCCCTTTCATACGCGTTAACGATTTTGGTGTGACCTTGAAGCCTGATTTTTGGTGGGGAGGGCTACAACAACGGAAATTTAATTCAGATTTTGATAACATAAGCTCATATACGAGCAGGTTAGCTCAGAGGCCGAGTTTCACCCGCCCAGTGTCAATAAATGGAGTTGTTATGCATTCTTTAAGGCCACGGTAAAATTCATCTGTACTGGGGACTGTTCGAACGGTGGTAAAGCTATTAGTGTGGTGCTTAGACACAGGGACGACTTCCCTATACATCGCGAGTCAGAGCTTGGTATTCAGATCACAACCTAGAAACATACGCGTCCTAGGTCAGCGTCCCTCATACCTCCTTGTCGCTGGTTTCATCTTTCTCTGGGCAAATCGACGTCAGTTCCAGAAGACGTTCGTAGCCCGTGCACCCGCACTTCATTCTGTTGTAGCCACCGAAGTCTGAAACAACAAGAGGCAGGAATAAGTCAGGCGACAGTGCAGCGAAGTTGCTTCTTTGAAGCGTGACCAAACATTGGGCACGTGAAACTAAGACGCGGTAAGAAACTGGTGTGTCCACTCACAAAGTTGAACGCAATTGCCACACCTCTGCTCCCGGCCGGAACTGAAAGACTCGCCGTTAAAAGCAACAAGGTTTGTTGCGTTCAACTTTAACAGTGAACGCACTGATTTGAAAGCTCCAAAGAAGAGCTGATGATATTTTTTTTTCCAGTGGTTGCTTACTCAGGGTCACGCTGTCGACGTCTTGTGTTCTCAGTTTCCCTAAATGAGATTTTGGTGCCAGGTCTATAAAAATTCCCCTTTCTCGTTACTTCTGAGGTGTTCTGAATTCACGGGGTCGATTCCACCGTGAAGTATTTTATATTGTACTCTAGTGAATTTCAAATATTTGTTTTGGCTGCTTTATAAAACGTCCAGTGTAATCCCAGCACAATTTCCGGGGCCACTACTGTGCGTTTCGCTCACGTCACTACTTTCTGATACAAGGAAAACAAACGAATCCGACAAGAATTGAGACATCGGACTGTAAATTATGTCTCTGAGGCCGGTTCAGTGCGCCTGCGCAACTGCGACCACGAGATGGAGGGACCTACGTCGCAATGCACAGATATTAAACCATTTTTTCCTCAAATAATCGGGTCTGCTACGATATCTGCGGGCTTTCCGTCGATAAGCCTTCGAGGCACGTGCCTGGAAGCTATTAACTGAATATCTCAAATGTAGATGGCAGTGTACGACTCTTCTCCTTATCACGTGGTAACTGAAACTTATTTCGTATCATCGCCACCAACAGCGTGGTACATGTAGGGTAATACTTCATAAACACCATAAAATACATTCACCCTGAAAATATCAACTGTAGAGTTTGTCGAAATGTTGGCAGACGTCCAACATTCGATGCGGTTCATCCCCGACAGCCGGAGACTTGTAAAAAACTGTTTTTGGCGCAGTCTATGTTTAAACTGAGACACTTCTCACCCCCTCACTCCACCCCCCTCGCTGGATATTTCTGTCCATAGGCGTCTTTATAGAGAAAACGATTGGATGGTGTCGCTGCAAGGCAATCCTATTATTCAACGCTTTATACCTGCTCGGCGTCGTTACATAAGGAAATAACTGTCGGATACAGTCAAAATTTAATTTTTAGTGACTGCTCTCTAATACCCAGAGGAAGTTTAATTAGAATCAGATCATTAGTCAACAGCTGAAACACCTCATCGTATGTAAATGACATATTTTACCGATTCTGCAGGTTCCCAGTCAGTTCATGCTCGTCCTTCTCGGTTGTAGACATGCGAAAGTTTTGGAAAGTGTAAAGTTTTGTGGCTGGGCAGGAGCAGATCCTGTGCGTTATAACTACTGTTCTATTTTTATTTATTAATTTAAAATACCAAACGTCATAATCTTCTAATTCGTATTCGGGAGGTACCGAGTTCAAATCTCTGCCCGGCGATCGGCTATCCTGACCTGAATTTTTCGTGGTTTTCCTTATTCCCTCCAGGCAAATGCTGGGATAGTACCGTAAATTAGGCCACGACCGCTTCCTTCCACATCCTTTCCAATTCAGTATTCACTGTCATCCTCTCATTAGATGCTAGTCTGAGTTACTGAAAAATCGTTATTAAATAAACTATAAATAAATTTAAAAATTTATAACAGACACTCAGGAGGATGTTAGTTCATGTAAATAATATTTAAACATTCTACGTCTATGTTACTGTGCTAAATTTGTTAATGTTGTTAAGGAAATAATCACTGTTTGTTCTTAAAACAATACGCAGACCATCAATACATTATTTGGGCAAAGTACAGAGTTAATTTTAACAGTACGGTCTTTCAATTCGTAAATATTTTAATTCGGGACTGACGAATGTTAAAATACGTTACAAAATATGGGTCAACGTAACGAAAAAAGTATATTTCTGGACCCTCATAACCTCAACTGCATTCTAATTACAGTCCAGAGCGTCAGGCGTTATATCTGCGCAGGACTTTTGAACCACCGCGCATACAGTTGTGCGCAGCAATGTCAGGATGCTCGTTCAAAATATTCATGACGCAAAGACAAGTGTACTGTTAAGCCATGACACAGTTTTAAGTAAATAAATGAGGTCGCCTTGGATATACCCAGAAACTTCGCAATGTGACCCAGTGGTTATTTAATGACGAAACACCAAGTTATCAAGATCGTTCAGTGGAACTTGTGTCTGGGCTTAAAAGTATTACGGAGATGTTCATGAAAATAAATCAACACCAATTACACCATCCATTCGACAGAAACCACATCGAAGCTCATTTGGAGTTAAAAACTTCAATTTATAATTCATTAATCATCATTTTGGAGGCGAGAACTGATAAAGACTTGGAAACATTAAAAAAAAAACATACAAATACTCATTGACGTAAGTGTCTAAGACTTTGAAAAACGATATTTTTTCATGCAGAAGATTCAATAAATCACTTAAAGACACGTGTGAAATTACTCTCTGGCCAAATTATGTAACGGTGTGATTTATATACTATTTGACTTTCATTATCAACTGCGTCACATTAATTAACATGTCGTCACGTTGGGGTAAAGGTTATTTCGTTCCGTCTAAATTATAAATGAACTTTGCCAATCAACGAAGCACGTATTATTCAATGATGACACGTGATCTCCTTACTGACTCACGGATCTAGAGTAGCTGATAATACGCTCACCCAATCAATAAATTCCTCGCAATTTATGGAACCCAAAAAGTACATTATCGTCTTCACAAAAGCCAACTCCGAGAACGTGTGTAATATTTCGTAACGTGTCATTTTTTACGTTGAGGAATTTACAGACACACACACCCCTCCCCGGATCAGTAAGCTGGAAAACCACCCCTTTTCGGACGTCAATTTATTCACAGCTACCCTCCATCCTTAATCGCGTTAATTTAAAATTAAGAAAACTGACAACTTTACGTGGTATTAGGACAGGATATACGTTCTGATAACGAAAATTGGACATCCGCAAATCAAAACTTATGTTCAAGGACGTACGAAATAACTTAAAATTGTCAGGGATGTCGGTCGAAATGACCCGGAGATTTTAAAGCGTCTTCATTTTCTGCTGGACACAGCAACCGAAACTGTGGAAGGAAATTCCCCCTCGCCACGACTGGTAACATCGTTTTCCAGAGCAGTGGTATTCAAACTTTTTTTGTTCGCGTACCCCCAGATATAATTTCTCTTCAATTTTGTACCCCCAAAGTTGTTGGTGTATAATTCAAGTTATACGTAGTATATAATCTACATATAAAATAAATTAAATAAATAACATTACAGATTATTCAGTGTTTATCATAAAATAATATATTTTTTTTAAATTTCACGTACCCCCTAAGATGTATTCGCGTACCGCAGGTTGAATACCACTGTTCTATATCATCATGTACTATTTCTTTAACATACAGTTTTAGTATTATCATCTCAACTACGCCTAGGTCTTCGAAGTGGTAAAACAGATGTATCTATGGCTTATAGTATCTTATCAAATTTTTCCTGTGTTAAGTTCTTGAACTATTTCCGACCCCCCCCCCCCCCCCCCCCCGCCCTACCCCT